TGTTTTTTTTCTGTAGAAATATCTTGAAGGAAGAACTTTTTTACTACTCTGACACAAATAGCACTGTGACAGGCTGAGAAGCAATCTTTGCCTTTGGGAGTATTATTTGTATGTATTGATTATCTGACGTTGGACTTTTTCCCAAAGTGAGGTGAACATGTGAGTCATCTATCAAAAATAATGGTGTCTGTGAATTGGTTACAGACAATTTTCAATTATTAAGATGTCAGAAACAAAGTTCCCTTTTTTTTTCTCCTGAAGGACAGCATGATTTGACAAATATGTAATAAAGGCTTGTAGTCAGGAGTACTGAGCACCTTCAGTTCTTATTAACGCTAATTAAGCACAACACTTGTCTATTTCCATCTAAAAATCTCCTTTCAGACCTCTAATGTGTCTCTCATGCTTCAGAGGCTCTAAGTCTACAGTGCTGGAGTTCAGGTTGGTTCTTCAGTTTTTGAATAGTAAGAGCAGGGCTTTGCAAATGACTCCTTGTAATCTGTAGGATGACATTGTTCCTTTCCAGGAGAGCCACAGGTTCAAGGGCTCTGATAGAAACTTATTAGCTTAGTGTAGTTGAAATGCATGGTATATTTTCAGATATTTTATTTATTTTTTCTTGTTTAAATACATACCTCTTGTTCTTTTTCTCTCTTTCAGCAAACTCCACTGCATTCATTTTAGCTCCTGGGATGCAAACAAGGAGTGGACAGTAGATATGCCAAAGGATGAAGATATTGAAGCTATCTGTCTAGGTCAGGGCTGGGCTGCTTGTGCCACTAGTGCCTTGCTGGTTCGACTGTTTACAGTTGGAGGAGTTCAGAAAGAGATATTCTGTCTCCCAGGTCCAGTGGTGTCTATGGCAGGGCATGGAGAGCAGCTGATGATTATTTACCACAGAGGTATTTCTCCCTTCTGTCCTTTTTATGTCCTGAGTTCGTGTTTTCATTTCCTTGTCTGTTCCTGGCTTCAGATGCTGTATTTGTGTAGTCATCAGAAGTATTTTACTTTTCCCCCTTGTCTTGATGATGGTTACACTGTCACAACCTGTAAGTCTTCAGCATCTGACAGTAAAGCATATGTTTTATATTGGGATGCCTAGATTAACTTGTGGGGAACAGGAGAATTTTATAACAGTAGCACAAATAGATTGAACTTAGGTTTCGGTCATGCCATGATTAATTACTTGAGGAAATTAAGGAACTAGTTGTTATGCATACTTTGTATGTCCGAAGTGGCAAGTAGTCTCTTGTCTGGGAGTTTGTTTGTGAATAACACTGCCTTAGACTTAGCTTTTGATTCAGAAGTTACCTAAATCTAGCTAAGTGACAAAGACCATTTGCTTTCTAGCACAGTCTTTGACCAACTTCTTCCTAGGTACTGGATTTGATGGAGAGCAGTGCCTTGGGGTACAGCTGATGGAGCTAGGAAAGAAGAAGAAACAAATTTTGCACGGAGACCCTCTTTCTCTTACACAGAAGTCCTATTTGGTGTGGGTTGGATTCTCAGCAGAAGGTATGAAATTAAATGAAATGCAAATAGAATTAATAAGATAAAATTAATTGAAGTCCTGAACTGGGGTCAGTTCCCTTGCAGTAGCACTGGCTGTCAGAAGGTGGCGCTTCTTTCTAAGGAAAGCAGTTTGCCGGCGCTGTCGCGCTGCTTGGGTGAGAGGATATTGAATTTGAGTTACGTAAAACGTCATTTCCCAGCAGTATCCACCAGTTCAAACTCAGCCACGTCATAATTAGTTGCCTGTCAGAATAATGCTCTGTATTTGTATCCAACAGGTACCCCGTGTTACGTGGATTCTGAGGGAATTGTGAGGATGTTGAACCGAGCACTTGGGAACACTTGGATTCCGGTGTGTAACACACGAGAGCATTGCAAAGGAAAATCTGATCATTACTGGGTCGTTGGCATCCATGAAAACCCCCAGCAGCTGAGGTCAGATATACCCCAAAGGAAATGCTCTGTTTGTCTTACCTTCTAGAAAGAGAAACTGGAAATGAGTTTTACTAAAACAGATACACAGTAATGGCTCTAGTTCCCGAATGTAATTCAGCGTGGATGTTTCATTACTAAGTTTGTTTTGAATAGACTCTTGGTTTTATAATGTGTGACAAACTAATATTAGCTTCTTGCCTTGGCTGGCAGACATGTGCACTTTGTTATGAAATCACGTCTGTGATGCAGGCACATTTGTAAGACTGCACTTTGCTTATGGTTGCTCTTAGGATTCTGCTTCTGTTGCTGATATATTTTTTTAAATTTCTGAGTTTTTAGCTATATTTTTCCCTTTTGCCCCTTTGAGAAGACTCAAATCCTGTAAGTAATCTACATTGTTAGGCACAGATAAATAAGAACAATCTGGTACTATGTTAATATTTAAACTGTGGCCACAAGAAAGATTCTGGGAAAGTGCTGATGTGCTCAAATAATTATCTAGCTGAGAGTGACCCATTACTTTCAAAATGTGAGTATTCCTCTTAATTGCAACAAGCACCAGAGACACTTAGTTGCCAAGCTTTGTGTGTTGTCTTATTTGGTGATCTATGTCCTTTTCCCACTGGATCATAGAATCCTAGAATCCTAGAGTGGCCTGGGTTGCACAGGAGCACAGTGCTCACCCAGTTCCAAGCCCCTGCTGTGTGCAGGTCGCCAACCAGCAGCCCAGGCTGCCCAGAGCCACATCCAGCCTGGCCTTGAATGCCTGCAGGGATGGGGCATCCACAGCCTCCTTGGGCAACCTGTTGCATTTTATTGAAATTTAGGCTGTCTCACTTTGCTGCTCATGCAGTTCACCACGAATGTGCAGGACACGTGGCATTGGTGAGGTGATCAGCTGCAAGTCAGTCCTCTTGTCTTTCTGCTCCAAGAGGGATGGTGCTGACCTCTGAATTGCAAAGGGCATTCGATTCAAAGCCACCAGCATACTGAAGATAAGGAGTGGGGAGGGTTATTGTAGGAACAACCTGTGCTGTAATCAACGTGGATAGCCAGAGCACTAATGCTTCCTTTTTCCCCTAGTGTTTGAAACAGCAGCTTAGAGCTATGAAAGCAGACATTTTTGTCAATGCTTGTTGGTGCTGCTGGAAGCACAGCTCTTCTCCAATCACTGTGTTGCTTAAGTGATAGTTACCAGAACACTAGTTCAATGAAACATTAAGACTACGTTGTTAGTATCTGTGTATCTGCATGCCCTCCCTTTTTGTTTTCGCCCTCTGTGTGCCTACATACATCACTGTTAAGCCCAAAACCTTCATCAGAATAAGCAGTCTGTGCCTGCTCTTTTTCCAATGGCCTTTTGTTGTTTGGTAGGTTGTGCATTTGATAAACTGCACTTATGTTTTGTAATTGCTGTCAAATTGTGTGTTGTGTGAGATAGAGATCTGTGTCTGTTCTGTGCCATACTTGGAGTTTCTGATGTGAACAAGAGCAGCGTGTGCCTTGCTGCTTTCAAAATCTTTTATTGGTTGCAGTGTAAAAATAACCCTTCATAATGCAATCTTACATCCTGCTATATTTAAGTCAGTAATTTAATTACTACTTTTTAAAGACCAAATCCTCTTAAAGTGCCTTGCTTCTTAGGAGACGTGGTTTAGATGATGAGGATCACAGCTGCTTTTTCTTTCCCGTGCACAGGTGTATTCCTTGCAAAGGAGCCCGATTCCCTCCGACACTTCCACGTCCTGCAGTGGCAATATTATCTTTTACACTCCCTTACTGCCAAGTTACAACAGAAAAGGGACAGATGGAGGTATGGAATGATGTTGAGACCACAGCTGATTGTCTTAGACATCCGCATAGCAGGGATTATACAAGCTTTCTATTAATCATCTCTGCGAGGAAGAGAGTGGTACAAACTCTGCATAAGGCACCTGGCAAGGGAGGTTATCTGAGTTCAGGCTTTTGGGTGGCTTTTTTTCTGTTTGTTTTGCTTTACAGCTGGTTCTAGAAAAATACTTAATGAGGCTGTTAGAGTTGACACAAGGTTTATATTTACATTATAAATTATGTATATTGTATACGTATATATAAAATATTATAAATTACATTTAAAACATTTATTTATATTTATAAATAATCTCATTCTGACCAATGAAGGAGAACACCTAGAAAAGTATATCAATTATCCAATTTTTAATTGATTTGTGTATTACGGTGTCGTGGGGTTCAGCTGTAGTACACAAAATAGAAATTAATATGAAATGCTGGCTTCAAACTTAGAGACTGTCTAGTACTGTTGGAAGTTTATTCTCATTGATAGAAGTGTAAAGGGTTTCAGCAAGTGCTTTGCTTCTGTGAACTCACTGGAATTCATGTTGAGGATCTATTTATTTATTAATGTATTCTTTATTTGATGGACCATGGTGGTTTGCTTGTTTTGTTTTTCCTGTCCTTTCCAAACAATAAAAGGGAAACTTTGGAAACTGGAACTGTCAGTTTAGCCTGAGGGAATGTGTACTTTAGTGTGTGTTGTGCTTATGAAGAAACAGATGATTCCTAATAGATCTAATGAGTGGCTTTGAATGAGTTATTTTTCCACACAGCTAGGCTGGTGCAATAACCATACCAGTATTTCACTGGAAAACATCAGCTATGAGGTTTTTTTTTCAGCTGTCTCACAAATGAGTGTTACTCCTACAGTTCCAGTGTTACTGTGGAATCCTTCCACTTTGCTGGGGGACAGAAATTACAAGATAAAACAATCAATTTGTTCAAGAATTGCCTGTGCTGGTAGCAAAGTGATAAATGTCTAAGAATCATCCTACTGAAAGCCCGTGGTGCAAATGGGATTTAGAATACGTGGAGTCTGTTCAGTTTGTAGATGGATGTTAGTGTGGTCTGTTCATCCTGAGGAGGCATTGGCATTTGAGGAGAGCTGCCTACCTCTCACCATCGTTATAAAATGAAAAGAAGACTGAAGAATGAATGATAAAATCCTTTGTAAGTTGTTGGGCATTGAGCTCAGAGCTTCCTTGTTTCCCCCCCACCTGACCTCCAGAATGTCTTTCTTTTTTTCAGGAGCAATACTGGCGTTCAGTTGTATTTCACAACTATGTGGATTACTTATCAAAAAATGGCTACGAGCTTGATGAAAATGCTAAAAGTCAGCCAGTGAAGGAACAGCAGGAACTTCTGATGAAATTGTTTGCTGTAAGTACAAGGAAATCAAAACCAAAAACGATCCCTGAAACTTTGAGTAGATGGCATTTGATTTAAACTCTGATGTGATTCTCTGAGTGGAAGTTTGGCTCATCCAGTGGAAGTTGGTGCTCCCCAGATGCAATAAGAGGTGGATGGCAGGTCATGTTGTTATTGCTTATCACAGGATAGAAAGAAGGAAGGCTTCCTAACCAAAAATTAAAGAAAAAACAACCCTCTAAAAGAAGCTTGATAATTTTTGTCTTTATTCACAAACCTCATCATGTTCTGGTCCTGTAGTCTTCAGAGGGCTGTGTCACTGAGCTGTGTAACTCTCAAGGCTTTTCTCCTTCCAGCTTGCTTGTAAACTGGAGCGTGAATTCCGCTGTGTGGAACTTGCTGACCTCATGACACAAAATGTTGTGAGTTTAGCCATCAAGTATGCATCCCGCTCGCGAAGACTCAATTTAGCTGAGCGACTCAGCGAGGTGGCTGTAGAGAAAGCAAGTGAATTGGCAACAGCTCTGGAGGATGAGGAGGAGGAGGAGGATTTCCCAACTCACATGAATGCTGGGTAATGCAAATTTCTGGGATTAAAAAGCTGGGAATGTTTTTACTGATTTCTTAATGGTGGCTTCAGAGGCAAAGTGGAGCTGATTCTGAGTTGCTCTGATTATTTTTTACTTCTGTTTTCTTCTAAGCTTTTGTTGTTTTGATCGACTCCAACCTATTTTTTTTCTCTTTGCCTTTTACCTCTTTTTCATCCACACCCACCTTAAGGCCTTTTACTTCCCTCCAGCTCCCTCTTCTTTCAGCTACCTCAGGGTATCCCACTGTGTCTTGTTCCCTCACCTCTAATCCCAGCTCTTCAAAACGAATGAAATATTACAGGTTTGCAGTTCATTCATTTCTTTGTATCTGTGCTCCTACCTTTCCTCCTATATCTATGTCTGTTTTATCTGGAGGCAAAAGAAGTTTATTTTCCTCTCTGTTTATTGTTGTTTTGCATTTGTTTTAAACTGTGGAACATATGGGAAGAGCTGTGTGTTCTTGCTTTGCATCTGGATGATGCAGCTGGAAGGAAGCAAGTAGCTAACCACCAGTCAGTTAAAGCAGAGAAATGTCATAATGTTTTATCAGAAGCAGTGTCCTCCCACAGCAATTTTCTGTGTGCAATTTGTAACTTTTTTAGGCAAGAGGAAGTGATAAGCTGAGGGATTTATCTATAGCCTTTCCCTTTTCTCCTGTGTGAAACTGCATGTTTAAAACTCCTTGCCAAATGGTCTGCCCCCTTCTGGAGTATGAATGGGAGTTGCTATCCCGTATCTGCCCACTCCGAGGGCTGAAATACACCACAGACACTGCGTTGTTCTTAGCACCCAAGCAATTTAATACTGGCATTCTAATTAAGAGAAATGAACCTTTTGTTTACATGTGCATGCATTTTAGTAATCAGTAAAGAGGGAAATGCAAGAAATGTACATGCTATAGTTTGGGAATTTAGAAAATTGCTGGATTAAACATGAAAGCCTGCTGCCTAAATTTCAGGCTGAAAATACGAGTCTCTGTTGTCAGGTGTGCATTTGTTTATGCAGAAAAGTAGCCTGGTTTTTCTCACCATAGTGGAGGTATTTATATTTAAATGGAGATTACAGAAGGTGTCTTCTGTTTGTGTTTACCTTTGTGGCAAAGTGTCCTTAGCAGCCTTGTTGTGAGCTCTGAAGAAGGTGGCAAAAGCTTGCTCTTCGTGTTTGAGTGTTTGCTCTTGTGTGCAGAGCTGTTTGAAGAATGGTGCCAGCACTTGTACTGGTGTGAGACTCAGGTGGTTTAGTAGCTGTGTGGTCTGTCTTAGAGCTACATGAGAACCACTGCAAGTGCTTTGTACTGAACTGCAGTGGTTAATGAAACTTGATTTTTAGTAATCATTGCATTGTAATCGGTGTAACAAGTGCCAAATGTTACTCATCTTATTTCCTAAATTAGTTAAGTAAGTTAGCCTTCGTTTCAGTTTACTGTGTGAATGTGGTGGAGTTCCAGGCACCTCTTCCTTCCTGATGAATTCCTTCCTTTTAGTTACAGCACCTCTGCCACAGAGTGGGGCCGGCTGCCAGGCAGAAGTGCTCAGCAGGACCAAGAGATGGAAGAGGCTGAGGAAACCGATGGGTGTGAGGAGGCAGAAGGAGTGCCTGAAGTGCCTAAACAGAGTAAGAATAATCTGTTCTCTGAGTGGGATGGAAGCTATAGAATCATTTGAGTTGGAAGGGACCCTTAAGGGCCATCTAGTCCAGCCCTGCTGCTATGAGCAGGAGCACCTTGATCAGAGCCCCATCCAGCCTGAGCTTGGGCAGAAACAAAACAGAAGCAGGGCATCAACCACCTGTCTGGGAAACCTGTGCCAGTGCTTCACTACCCTTATCATAGAAGACTTCTTTCTGATGTGCAGTCTAAATCTCCCCTCTTTTAACTGGAAACCATTTCCCCTTGTGCTATCAAGGCATCTTATCTGGATGTGTTCTTCACAGACTTGATAAGGAATTCTGGAATTTCCCTGATAACTTTTAGTTTGGATAACTCAGCAGTATATAGCACCAAACAAGTGATCATAGAATCACAAGGTTGGAAAGGACCTGCAAGATCACGTAGTCCAACCATCCTAATGGAGTTTTCTCTCTGTTTTTTTATTTTATTTTTTATTTTTTGCATAAAATTTAGGAAAGGCAGGCACACCACCTGACAAAGAGGTGAGGTTCAATTTAGAAGCCAGTATAAATTAATTGTTTCTTTCACTGAGTTTTGACAGCTTGCAACTGTAGCAGGGGCTGTGTTTTCTGCAGGCTAGTTAGAACAGGCCTAGTGGTTTCTAATCCCTCTTGGCTTTAGCACATGAAAAAATATGCAACAGGTCTAACAGGGTGACATACAGAAACTTCTGACCCTGAGCTTCCTGTTGCCAGAATCCCCTGCATGACAGAGCCCACCTGATCAGGGTCTGTAGCCCAGCGTGTGCCTGCAGTCGCTGCAGAGTAACAGAATGTGTGTCTCCTGCTCTGTCACAGCTCGCTCCTGTATTGTCCATAACTGCTTCAAGGGATCCCTGGGGAGTTTTTTTGTTGTCTGACACTGTTTCTAATGTGCTAGGTCACTCTGTGATGCTATTATTTGATTTCAGTTCAAGTCCTGCAGGAGATGAACTGATGGACCAACAGTTCACTGAGTATTCCCTCTTCAGCATCTGGGCTTTTACTTGCAAAAGAATTGTCAGGCAGTCTGCAGTGTTCTGATGTTCCTATCGTTACCAAAGGCAGACTGTTTTTTTTTTTTTCCTCCTTTACTTTGTCTCCATTCACCTCCTCATCTGTCCCATCCTGCTGTGTGTTTCTATGTGCTGAAAATATTCATTTGGGGACTTTTAAGTGGTGATCTGGAGGAGAAAAGCAAAATGAGTTTAGTGATTATCTATAGGGTGTGTTAGCTTCTTACCTCCAAAGAAAGGAGACAAAAGATGGATGGATGGAAAGATAGCTTCACCTGTAAAACAGATCTACTGCTTTCTGGTTTACTATAGTTATGCCAATGCTGTAAAAAGTAAATATAAATATCTTATAGTTGTCTACCCCTTATTGTTAAGCATTTATTTAAAAATCATGCTTCTCTCTTTCAGACATGACTAGCTTTTCTAATTCAAAAAAAATAGGTTGAAGAAATCAGTATAGAACTCTTAAGATAAATCCAGTTAAAGAAGATGGATGGCTTTGTAAAAGTGTGTGCACAATTTGGAAATGCATATTTTAAAGTACAGACTGGTTCCTATGACTTGCTTGTGTGTTTAGGATTTTGTTTTTAACTGGTTCTTACGTTTTACTGTACCTTTTTGTTCCAAAGGGCCAAATCCTTTCTCCAAAGCAGTCTCTGCAGCAGAGGTGATTACTCCTAAGTCTGGTGAGTAAATCTCCATTTATTCCACTGTAAGAACTTTGCCATGCCTCACCACCTCCGTGCCTGTTTTTTTCTGTCCTCTCATTGCTACTGAAATGCAGTGCCTAACAGTGCTGTCAAGGAGTAACTTATGCTGATTGTTATGTTCACATTTTCAAGAGGTTCCTTATTCCTGTTGATGTCATCTTTACCTAATGATGCTCTTCAACACCACGCTGATAACCTTGCTTGTGCCAAGTGCTGAATCAGTTTGTCTGCCTGGCTGTGTCCTAAAGGTGTTCTTTCAGACAGGGAAAAATTAGAACAATGATCATTTGATTTGTCTTCATAATTACAGATATGTTCCTTGATTGCACTCACAGAGCAGAGTTAGTAACCCTGCCATAGGACTGTTAGTCTGGTTTAACAGGCAGGGCAGAATACAGTCCTGCATTCTTTCTTGCTTCTTCCCTCCTGCCATCCTCCAGCAAGATGAATAGGAATGGAAATGGAGGAAACAGTGGGTGTTCCTATGGATTTGTACTTGTAGGTCCAGTGTGGCTTTTCTGATGACTAATAGCTGAGGATGTATAGTATGACCTTCATGCAGTTAACAAAGCGCATTTCTTTTTAGCCAAATACTTTCAAGCCTAAAGGGAACTTCTTTGCTTTGGTGTGGGATAATGAATGCCTCTGATCCAGTCATCATCTTTAATTTTCAACTAACAGAGGCTGAAACATGAAAAATGAGTGTTAGCCACGTTTTTTTGCAAATGAGGCTAATGATCTTTCCTCTGTTTATCTACAGTGTGCGTGTTGTGTGCGCACGCATTTTTACATTCTTCTCTTTCTTTCCTATTAAATAGCTGTAATTGCATCAAGCAGCCAAGGACGAGTGAATCCCTTCAAGGTAAGAATCTTGAACAAGCTGGTTTGATTGTGGCGTTCTGAAAATCACAGCAGGTGATTATATCTAAATAAACAGTACAGCTACGACGGAAATCTTGGAGGGACAGAGCATAAAGGAAGTGTCTGTTTGTTTGTTTTGCTAGGTGTCATCCAGCAAAAAGGACCCATTGGTCCCCTCAGCAAATGTTCTAGACACTATGAGCAAATACTCAAAGAAAATTTCTAGCAGTCGAGCTGTAAACAAGCAGAGCCCTCCAGTTATAAAGCCTCTGATTCCTAAGCCAAAGTCCAAGCAGGTAATGCTTCTGGTCTTTTCATGTTGTTTCAATAAGCAAAAAACAGTCAATTGAGTTTCACCAGCTTTCATCAAGTGTGAAACCTGTTGATTTAGTAAGTCCTTGTAGATGGCAGTGTTCTTTTAAGCATAATGCAGAAATTGATGCAAACGCAGAACAGGAATAAGAAAGTGTTTCTTCATTTGCAGAAATTATATTCTGCGGTGAATCTCGTGCTTTTCTTTTAAATAATGTGAAGTAAATATCTGCTGTGCTGAAGTTGAGCAGTTTATGTAACATTCTTTGGATTAGTTGTTCCGTTCATGGAAATGATTGCTATGCCTTTAGGAAAAGCTTTTTGTTAGGCTCTATGATGTGCCTTGTTTGAGGGTGGCACTGCTGCATTTTTTCACTCACCTTCTTTTTTTAATGCACCAACTTCTGCAGGCTTCAGCAGCGTCCTTCTTCCAGGTACGCACAGCCAGCTGCAGTGAAAAAAGAGTGGGAGAAAGAGAAGAAAAAGCAGGAAATGAGCCCCCTGTGGTCCAAGTCACTGCACAGGACAACACAGAAAACAAAAGGTGAGTGAACGCTTGCTGCTCGGTGCCATAGTCCGATCTTGATAGAACAGCAAGTCCAAAAACTGTTTGTTTCTGAAGACACAGAGCTAGCCAAGGTGCCTTAATATCAAGGTTGAAGTTTTAGCTCACAATTTGTCACATTTGGGAGTTTTCTTCAGATGAACAGCAAACTGGTGCTTACGTTGTGGCAGTTTGATAACATGCTTATTACATTCACAGTGCCAGAGCAGAGAAAGTTCCTGCTTATTCGATCTTTCCAGTTATGCATGGCAGCATTATTCAAAGTGTAAGTTTTGCATCAGGCTGAAACAAATCCATAGAGTGTGTGCATGAATGTGTGGATGAATAATAAACAAACAGTGTGTAATGCACAGTGTGTCGTTTCAGGGCTGTAAGCAACAATTTCTGCCTTGATGATTTTGAAACTGATAATAACCTTTGAAAGATAAGCCATGCTGCTGTACTCTTTCCAAATGCAGGGAAAGCTTAGCATTAAAACATGCCTAGGCAGACTCAGAGATCTGAAAGCTAAACGTTGTATGTGGATGTGTAAATGGTTAATTTTAATATGGGAGCTGCTGGTTTGCTTTGTGCTGTGTATTTTTGTTTTACAGTTTTATTCCTATACTTTTTAAGGAAAAACAGAAAGCCAAAAACTGGCATCACTGAAGCAATATATCTCTTTCTAGCTAACACTCTTAATACATGTTATTCCTCTGCAGCAGATGTATTCTCCACAATCCCAGTCCTCATGAAACTTGCATTATTATAATGACTTTTCATTCAGACTTCATTTAGCTGAGGAAGTCAAATGTAATTATTATTCATTTGGACTACTATTCTTTTCATTGGCCTTAACAGATAAGGTTCTAAAGCATGGGACAAAGAGAACTGTGAAAAGGATTAGCTGAAAGGTGCTACAATGTGCTCTGCTTTTAGGCTGAAGAGACCTTGTCAGAAAGGAAGAGAACCATTATGCTTTATCATTCTGAACCTGAAATGTTAATCTCCACATCTATCACAGAATTAATAAACACACTTGGATTAGCCTTGCCTTGTCAGCATGTTCTGTTAGCATACAGCAAGAGGAGAAAGTGAGCTGCTGACTGTATATGCTGTTGCTTTGGAGAACAAAAAACCCTCTCAAGTGCTGTTTAGAAATGTTATTTTGGGGCATATGGTTTTCTTGTAACCTTCATTAGCTGACATTCTTTCTGTGCTTGTTTAAGACCAAAGACAGGTTTCCAGATGTGGCTAGAAGAGAACAGAGCAAACATTTTAACAGATAATCCTGGTCTGAATGAAGCAGAAGTAATAAAAGAAGGCATGAGTCGGTTTAGGATTCTGTCAACAGAAGAAAGAATGGTAAGAAATGTTCTCTAATTTATTTTTATTTTACATTTCTTTCTTCCCCCACCAATTTTTTGGATTATTTCCAGTTAGCACTTTTTTTCCTTTATATTCCACTGTTGTCCCTCCTCAGGAACTTCAGTTTTGAATTGGACCATGATCTAAAACGTACACTGTGAAAATATTGCCTGTGTTGATGTCTTAACAATAAACAAAACAGAAAGCTGCTTTCCCAGAATGGGGCATCTGGGAGAAATGTAATCAATGGAGAAATAACAAATGAGAAGGGAAGGAGTTAAAAGTGATATAGTGAGACTTAATTCATTGGGGCTTGGTTCTAAAGCCTTTTGGCTTTATGTGTCCAGAAAGACCACTAAAGCCTTCGGTTTCATTTGCAGGCTCAAAGGAATTGTACTTTTGAAGGTGAATGCTGTTACAAAAGAAAAGTGAGGACATTTTACTCAACTCGATTAGCAGCCTCCCTTAGTTCTTAACAGGAATTACTCCATTGCTCCCTTACAATCAGAGAAAGAGGGCATGTAAAATAATGCAGTGCATTTTGTGGCCTGCTGTGTCCTTTTCTACTTAACGATGTGCTTTCTTCACAGGTGTGGACTGAGAAAGCAAAAGGTGGAGCAGGAAATGATTCCACAGAAGACAAAAAACGGAAGCGTCCCACAGCTGCTGAAGATGAGGCGAAAAAGAACGAGGAGCAAAAATCGGAGGAGTCGAATGTATCCAAAAAGAAGAAGCCTTTAGATCAATCAACCAATGTCAGACTGTCATCTTTTGCATTCAAGCAGAGCTAAATAATACCAGCAGAGCTGGTACCTCCTCAGCATCTGCTTTCTCAGTGCAGTTATGCAGTGTTTTCAGAAATGTGCTGCTGCACTCAAAGAGCACTAGCAAAAAGGGAGTGCCTTGCTCCAAATGTTTTTAGAAAGTATTTTGTGATCGACTCTTTAGAGAAATGTTGAATCCATTCATCAGGTCTCTTTGCAAGTTGCTAGTGTAAAGACAGACAGAAGAACTAATGCTAATGGACCTGTTACCTAGAAGTGCAGTGCCACAGTTTTGTGCAGCCATGTGTCCACGCTCATAATATTTGGTGCTAAATATGGGTGAGTTGTTTTGGGGAGCATATGCTATGTACAGAACTGTCCTGTGGTTTTAGAGCCATGGCTTCTCTACCATTCCTTCTGCCTGCTGCAAACACTTGTAAGAGAAGGACAGTGCAAGGAATGAGAAGGAGGGGAAGTTGATGACTTAACATCTTGATGGTCAGCTGCAATGTCAGCATGTGAGGCAGTCACTGAGAAGCCTGACTCAGGCTGGGACAGCAAACCAGGGCAGGTAGGACTGAAGCTGAATTAGGAGTGTTAGGTGTGCGAAAACGAGCCATGCCAGACTGTGCAAATGTGTTTTCCCTGTCTGTACTTCAGTGCTCAGAAATTGTGTGCATTGTTCCACGTGTTTGTTTTTAAAATGAAATGGGATTGTTCCTTTCCTTTACAGTTTTTGTAATTAAACAGACTTTAAGGCAGTCATATTTACCCTTCTTTGGGGAAGAGGCAATGTGTCTAGTAGATACATTTGAAAGAAATTCAAGTTTCAGAACTTTTTTTTTTGAGATAAACCAATTTAACATAACAGCATCCTGGGTTTTTTTTTTCTGGCTTTACGAATCTTTTTATTCTTCATTTCTCTTCATTTTATTACTGAAAAGCCAAATGATTCTCCATTGGGAAGACATTTTTAACATTAAAATCTGTAGGTTGAAGATCCAGAGCGATTTTTGTACATTGCAGAGGTGTTCTGCAAAGAAAAACCCCTCCTGTTTTCCCTGTACTTAGAAAATAGAAGGGTCGTGATGTCAGCTGGGATGGTAAACACATAGGGAAAAATCTTAAGACCCATTAATTTAAATCCCTTTTTTAGATCCACTGTTCTTGTAATTGTTTCTCATGTTATGGTTCAGTGCTGACAGTAAGTAAGAATTAATGTAAGTGTACTTACACAGAGGGACTGCATTGACACAGCAGAAAATCCAGAAGAGTAGTGGGATATTCCAACAGTTGTCTGCATACTTTGAGAAGAAATGATGGTATTGATGGCTGTACAGGATGAGTGTTTTAGGCAGCAAGGCATATTTCAGCATTTGGGTTTACTGAAGAACAACAGGATGGCAGTGGTAAGAAAAACATCCTGATAGAAAATCACTGTGGGCTTAGTGAACTGTGTGATGTTGTTTTTCTGCTGGACTGGGTAATTGTGATGACAGTTTAGAGTCCTCATCATGGTCCTGGGAGATGGGGTGAGTGGGAATGGACAACGTTTCTTTTTTTCTTCATATTCAAACTGAGCTACCTGCCCAGTGTCCTTTTATGCAGGCCAAAATACAAGAAGAAATTAAGTCTCCAGGGCTCCTTCATGAAGGCTGCATTGTGTACTTGTGCAGTGCATTGATATCTTGGGCTCACGACATTGAAGTCCTTTGCAGGCTCAAAAGGTGAACTGAAAAATCAGGTAGATAAGAAAAGAGTCTGGAACTGGCTTAGAAATGTACTCTGTGTCCCAAATTATGATGGGGAAAAAAAAAAACCAAAACATTTTAATGACTAAGATGGAAATCCTTCTTTGAAAAGCAGAATGTTCAGATTGGATGACTTTGGGAACATCTGGGCACGTGTCAGTGAATTATTTCTACCTTATTCCTCCTGAGCAGGATGCTGACTGGTAGCTTCTGATGCAGTGGCATTGTTTTGGAGGGAAAAATAGTGCTGCTGATGAAAGAGAAACAGAACCAAGCTGGTCTGTAGATCCAGCTGTTGGGTCTGTGTCTGTTTGCTGTCTCACATCTTCAAATTGCACAAATCCAGCACAGTTCCTGCTCTGCAATGGAAGCAGGTAGGTACAGCTGGTCCCACGAAGCATCCAAAGTCCTTTTGGCTCCTGTAGGAGGGAGGAAACATCCAAAGTAAACTTGCAGAAAAGTTTTCTGGCTGGTTTCAGAGAGCTGGATCTTTGCAATCGCGTGGCTCTTCTGAACAAACATGTCAAAGGTCTGTTTTGAGGGAGACTCCTGGATTTAGTGGATGAATTCATGGAAATAACTGAGAGGACGTCAGATTCCATTTGCAAGTCCCCAGTTCCTGTTTGCTTTTCTCCTGGCTTAATTTTTGTTTTATATTTTTTGTGGGTTTCATCAGACCCAATGTCCACAGCCTGGGGGCCACAGTCTGAATCTCACTGCTGTGCACGGGGCTGGAAAGCAGCAGCAGAACTGCTTCCTACATTACAGCTGGGATCTCAGAGGTAGGGGGCTGGAGGTGGTGGTGTGCCCTTCTTGCAGTCCTCCACTTTGCAAAATGGTGGAGAGGTGCAAAAAGGAACAGCATTTTAGCCCTGGCATTTAATTAAGCCTTAACTAAGCGCTGCTGCTGGCCCCAGCACCAAAACTAGCAGCCAGCAGCAGCACCTGCCTTGCTTCCAGACCCCAGCTCTTTCATCAGAGCTGCACTCTGCTCCATTGCCCAGCTGCAGGCAGAGCTGCAAATAACCTCCCAGTGCCAGGAGGCTTCCACCTGGCTGGGCAGTGCCAAGCAGAGCTGGGTGTTCACAGAACGATGAACTCAAACCTACCAGAAAACATGGAATGGATCTTTAAAGAAAACTTAAAACCTGACTAGCTGTTTTTCTTTCAAAATAGGACTTAATTCCCAGCTGTGGGGCTCTGTGCTCACCCCACGCCTGCAGTGCAGCAGTGGAAAGCGCTGCTGCATCTCAGCCTGCTCCCCTGCTACTGTCACAGCTCCTTTCCACATCCCAGGAGCACAAAGCATCTCCTCTCCCTCACTCTGCTTCTGACTGCTGCGTTTTTCCATTTCATCGTGTTGTTTGACCTTAAAGACAATCCCCATGCCAAAGCCTGCTGTCTTTTTTTACACATGGGGTATTCTGTTGTACATCAACAGATCGAGTCGTGCAACGCATCCAGCTTTGCAGGACAGATACAACTGCCAAAAACCAGCCAAAAAGACTCCTAGCAGAGGGTGCAGCCTGCTGGCCTTTCAAAGCAGTGAGTACCCACCTGAGCTCTGCAGCTGGAGAGCGTGGCAAGCCCTTTATCTCTGGAGAAGATCTATAAATGGACGACTTGGCGTGCTGGAGCATTGCAGACCTGTTTGATTTCAGAGGGAGTGCCAGGCTCACAGGAAGCCAGTCATTTATTCCGAGAAAAGAACACTTGTACTGTAAAGCAATAAGGTTTGTATTCACCTCCCAAAGAATATTTTCTTTGGCTTTCCAAGCTTTGTAATATAATTCTGCTGCAAAGGAAAACAATGGCCCAACTCATTCGTTTACTTAGAGGCAGGCACCACGCTGATCTTTACCTGGGCTGTGAAGAGCCGCTTGACGCAGGACTTGAGTGGACACAAATGGTCAGGAAATGGGGGTGAACAATTTGAAGTGCTGTGTTGCCAGAGAGCAGCCTGCTCTGCGAATGGCTTTATTGATCCTGGGCTAATAATGCTGAGAAGCAATGGAGTGGGGAGGTGCACGGGCACAGCGAGCTCCACTGGTGAAGCTGAAGCCATCCGTGGTTCAGAATTGGGACGGAGAGCTCAGCAGGGCTGTGCTGGGGCTATGCTCTGGCTCAGTGCTAAAGGTGCTATTGATCTGCATTGCTCTCCTGCCTGAGCTCTTAGCAAGACATCAGGCCGACACAAATCGCTGCAGATGGGTTGAGGAGGAGGAATTTGTCAGCTCAGACTTTAAGTGCTGAGTTCAGTGCCCAGTGCTTCTACTTGAGTCAATGGCAGAAAAAATACAGCGTGTGATTTAATTCTGCCATTTAATGGCTGTCAGTGCAGAAATTGCATTTAAGAAATGCTTTTTAGATGGCTTCACTTGACCCAGAGAATACTGCCCAGGTCCTTCCTCAGCCATTCTGGCACAGCAGTGGTTCCCTTAAGGAGTTCTTAGTGGTCGTCGTTGCCCAGTGGGCACTGGGGTTAATTAATAGAGAATTGTTGATAAAATCTTGGCCCGAGGAGTACCGAGGAACATAGGCACCTTTGGAAACTCCTTTGGAAACGACTAAACCCAGCAGCACATCCCCATTGAATGCAGGGCTGCAGGTGGGAGCACAGAAACACCAGCACATGGAATTATCCCATATGATGGGAACATACTGATGAATATGTAATTGCATGTGGAATGAATGACGTATTTCCATCATGGAAAAGCGCTGTTTGACATATCCCAAGACCCCCTGGAGGCAGCAGCCAGTCGTTTTCCCCTTTCCCCCCATCCCTGCTTTTGCAGCTCCGTGCTCCCCACGGGCGGTTTGCGGGTGGTTCGGCCCGCGCCTCGAACCCGGATCCCGGCGGCTGGCGGAGCGGTGACGTAAGAGCGGCGCCAGCCAATGGGAGCGGCGCGGGCGGTATAAAGCGGGCCGCTGCGCTCAGTCGGGTGGGAGCCTGGTGGGGTTGAGGGAGGGCAGTGTGGGACCGGGGTTTGTGCAGCGCTCTCGGCCGGGCCGGCTCTGCCGGCGCCTATGGCGACGGCACGGAGCTGCAACGGGTACGCACGGCGGGAGGGACCGCCATCCCCCACGCTGGGCACGGAGAAGCCGCGTGTGTCCGCCGCTAGCGGCGGCAGCGGGGACGGATGGCGGGGCGAGCGGCCCCGCAGCGAGGAGGACAACGAGCTGAGCCTGCCCAGCCTGGCGGCCGCCTACACCACCATCCTGAGGGCGCTGGGCGAGGATCCCGAGCGGCAGGGGCTGCTGAAGACGCCCTGGAGGGCGGCCACCGCCATGCAGTTCTTCACCAAGGGCTACCAGGAGACCATCGCGGGTAGGCGGCCGCGCCGAGCCCGGAGGGGCACCTGGGGCGGGGGTTCACCTCGCCTTCCTTCCTACTAGCCGTGCCAGTAAGGGCTGCGCTCGGTGCGTGCTGTAATGCGGGGCTTGGGAAACGAGGGAGTTCCCCTCCGGTTCCCCTTCCGCTCCTTCTGACGCTCGTAGGTGAGTTTCGGTTGGAGGATGAGGGACGCGAGCGCTGAGCCGGGCGCTGCTCAACCCGGAGCCTGCCTTGCGGCTTCGCTTTCCCTTTTCGTTTCCCCGAAGCCCTTCTGCGTGTAACTCGCGGCGCTAACTCGCTGAGCAATTCTTCCTGTTGCGATGTCACGTCCTAAACTCGCCCTGGGAGCTGCTGCTCCGTCTCTGGGGGCGAGCCTGGTGTTCAGCTTCACGTCGGTGCTGGGTTGTCCTCTCGTTCGGTCTCGCCGCACGCCGTGTTTGGGATGGACTCTCATCGAGGTCTCGCACAACGGCACTTTGTCTGCTCAGAGTCATAGAATGGCCCGGGTTAGAAGGGACCTCAAGGATCACGAATCTCCAGCCCCCCCGTGCCACCCTGCTCAGGGGCTGCATTTGTCTCCTTGTTGCACTGTAATACAGGAGCTCTCACGCCCAACCTGCCTGGTTCAAGCATGGTTTTCTTCTTCTGAACACATTTCTGTGCTGAGAGGTTGCTCACTCTCAGCTCCTCTCTCAATATTACTGCAGCTAAACCAGATGGATTCCTGTTAATTCACCCCAAGCTTTTGCTCCGCTGGATAATGAGGGATGCTGGTTCATCTGTCCCAATCTCACATGTGTTTCTTAGAGCAGAGTGGTTCTGGGTACCCCCTTCTGAATGGTCAGCCTTGGTGGCACTGGCACAGGTTGCCCAAGGAGGCTGTGGATGCCCCATCCCTGCAAGCATTCAAGGCCAGGCTGGATGTGGCTCTGGGCAGCCTGGGCTGCTGGTTGGCGGCCTGCACACAGCAGGGGTTGGAACTGGATGAGCACTGTGCTCCTGTGCAACCCAGGCCATTCTATGATGATTCTATACACTGTTTCTATCCACCTGTTACTCTCACTGTTAGGTACTGTGCTCCTGGGCTGCTTTTTGTTTGGCTACTTTTCTAGGAAATAAGAGGAAGCTGTGATGCAGGCATCCTTTCCTGTGCTGGGTGGGTTGTCTCTTGTGCTTCTGGTCTTCCTGCTCTTAGTAGTGAAGTGGGGGGGGGGGGGGGGGGGGG